ATTTCCTTAAGATTTACAATTTTTGTTATGATTTTCTTTTTGCTTAAGCACTTGGGGTATATATATATATATATATAAATACATATATATTTTAAGTAAACGTTGCAAAATCTCATTTGATTCCGAGTCATTGGCTCGTCTTTGGCACTGCATTCAATTGTTTTTTTGTTTTTGTTTGGTTTACGTTTCATTTGAAGCGATCTCTTCGTCTGCTCCTATTTCTACTGCCTTTTCTATATCGAGTCCTTTCGTGTCCACTTCGACTATAGTTGCTGCCACTGATTCCGCTTCTACTTCCACTCCCGTTAATTCCGCCTCTGACTCCTCTGCCGCAGCATCTGCATCTATTACGTCGTCTGCTTCGACGCACTTGCCGGGCAAATCTAAAGCCTGAGTAACTGCATCCAAACCCGTTTTCATTGTTGGCTCCGTTTCGGTGGCTTTGCTGGCCACTAGTGTTTGAGCCTTGCCCGCAGCTAACTGCTCGATGGCAATGACTGTGCGCTCGAGCAGATTCATGAAACGCTCCTCGCGTGCATCCATGCGCTTGAGCAGCTCCTCGTCTCGTTTCTCGCGCCGCTTCAGATACTCGATCAGCTCGTAGTTGGTGCTATCCCCATCCGTGGATGTAGACATCTTCCGTTTGCCGCTTTTCAGCGATGCCGATGAGCTGCAATCGGATAGATTATCCGTATCCACAATCACATCCGGATGCAGAATATTCTGATCCAAGCTCGGCGAGTAGAAGTTCTGAGCGCTGCGTAAATTAAAGACAGAAGCGGAAGTTAATGCACATTCGATTCAACTCGATTTGGCTCAATCTTACCCATTGTAGTTGGTTTGCATTAGCTGTATGTCATCCGGATTGAATTCACCTTCGGAGAGCGGCTCGGATCTGGGAGAATAAAGAATTGGGTGGATAGTAAATTGAAGTGTTTCATGTGAAGATCTAAATCAAATTCCAAATCAGGAAGTCATTCAACAAAAATCAATCTATCATCAGTCTCTATGTCTGTTCTTCAATCAGTCTATGAATCAATCACTTATTTAAATGGGAATCAAATAGAAGAGCAAACACTTCATGTATGGTAAAAACAATATTTAATTACTGTGCACGAAACATACGAGTAGTAAATTTGCTTTTCAATCATTTATCAATCAATCATTCAGTTAATTGATAATTTATTAGAGAAATCCTAGACCTCATGGATGTTGTAAAATTGGAACCATACAAAATACTGCTGATTACTATCTACAACTTGTTGTATATGATGCTCTTCAATCATGCTGATCCGTCCATTTTTTGAATGGGAATCACATAGAGAGGTCATCCACTTCATGAGTGGTAAAGAAAAGAAACAACTATTAATTAAGCCAATTTCACTAGCATCCACAATCTCCTCCTCTGTAGTTCGTAAGTAAATCAATCAATCAATCAGTTGAATGAAGGAAGTCAATTACTCCATGCATGCTTTAAAAATGTAGCTACTGCGAAGAAGACAGTTTTACTAGCATCTACAGCTTGATCTATACAGAACATTGCCAGTTAAGTAGCATCTACAGCTTGCTCTTCAGTCAGTACGTCCATCAATCAGTTGAATGACCATCACCTCGTAAGGCTGCTCATCTCATCGATATAAAAATCAGTCAAATCAGTCAGTCAATTACTATGTAAAGGCTCGTCAATCGCTAAATCATTAAACTGAGAATCGCATAGAAAGGCTACTCACTTCATGGATATGTTATTGTCGTTGCCGCTGCTGTTGTTGTGATGCAAGTTGAGCGCTCCATTGCAGTCCTTATCATAATCCGAAGCTTCGGGCGGCTCGTCATGCAAGCCATGTCCGTGATCCTTAAATGCGGCACTGTGATTGAGACTGTGACTGTGACTGTGACTGTGATTGTGACTGTGATTGAGACTGTGACTGAGACTCTGATTGAGACTGTGGTTGAGACTGTGGCTGAGACTGTGCTGTGGCTGTTGCTCCTGCTCCTGGCCATTTGGTTGCTGCTGCTGCTGCTGTTGTTGTTGCTGCTGTTGTTGTTGTTGTTGCTGCTGTTGCTGCTGCTGCTGTTGTTGTTGTTGCTGCAGTTGGGCGACGGCTGCTGCAGCTGCTGCGACGGCGTTCGCCAAAGGATTGTCATCGTACACACCGGGCACGCCCACTTGGCCCACGCCCACCGGCAACGGGGCATTCGGGCAGGGCCCCTCGCTCAGCTGCGTCTCCACGAAGTGATTTGGCATAAAGCCGCGCTCCATTTTACTCGCCCCGCTCTGCGACGAGTCGGTCGAGTGGGCGTGGCTCAGGCTCTGCAGCAAATTGTGCTGATGGGGCGTCAGCGTGTCCTTGGTGAGCAGGACGCCCAGCTCGGCGGCCTGCCTGCGCCGCTGATAGTAGGAGAGCTCATTGTGATTCTTGCTGATCAGAGCGAGGCGCTTCCCATTGGAGCCCCAGCACTCGCCGCGCTGCTCCTCGATCTCCTTGAACAGGAACATATACGGCCAGTTGCGCCGGACGTGCCGCTCCGGATTCTTCTTCAGCTGTGTGTAGATCTTCTTCAGGTTCTCGTACCGATTGCAGCACTGCTTCGCCGTTCGCTTGCGTGCGCTGAACCGGTTCAGCACCTCGGCGACCATTTCCCATACGCTCGCATGATTCTTGCGATTCGACTGGAACGCGCTCTGGATCCTCTCCGACTTGACGATGTTCAGCAGAGCCACCGACTCTGGCACATTGAAGTAGCTTTCGGGAGTGCGCGGCGCACGCTGATGGTGATAGCTGCTCGTCACGGTGGGCGGGGGATTTTTTGTCTCCTGGAAGACAGACAGAGAAAGAGAGAGAGCCAGAGAGTGAGTGAGTGTAAGAGAAGAGAGAGAGAGAGAGAGAGAGAGAGAGAGAAAGAGAGACAGGTAAAAGAGGGATAGTTTAATATTGGTAGAAAATACGGAACAAGGAGATTCTATACAAAGAGACACAGAGAAAGAGAGGGCGAGGTAGGGGCAGGAGGGCTCAAAATGATTGAGAATGTGGGAATTCGAAGCTAAGGAGCGAATGATAAATAGTGAGACGGAGAGGAAAGAAGAAAAAAAAGAAGGAAGTTATTTATCAAGATTCGAGCTGGTACAAAAGAAAGCAAGAGATAGAAGGAGATAGAAAATCAAAGAGAGTTTCAGATCAGTTGATATCCGGTTTAGACAGGGACTAACTTATCAAAAAACCCAATGCTCTAAATTAAGAGAGAATCATTGAGGAGGGGAGAGGAGCATGTATGATAGAGAAAGGGGCGGGGCAATAAGAGCAATAGAAAACAGTGACTAAGAACTATCCTCTATAGGGAATCACCAGGCATGAAGCTCTTAAAATTCAAAAGTCAAGTGAGTCAAAGTGAGTCAAGTACAGAGAGGAAGAAAGAGATAGAGATAGAGAGAGAGAGAGAGCAACAGAGAAAGCAAAAAGAGTCTAGATTAAGTGATGAAACGCATATAACACACGCAAATATTAAGCTTCTCTCTCTCTCTTTATGTCTGGATCTGCATTCCTCTTTATCTCTATCAATCTCTTATACGAAACCTTTCGCTTCTTCGCCTCTTTCATTACCTATAGTATTTCAATTACTTAACATGATCTATTGGCTTGTCTCTCTGTCCCTCCATCTTCTCCTGCCTCTTCCTCTCTCCTTACATAATGAAATTATTTTTTGATTTGAAAGAGTACCTATTCAAAAACTCCGATATTTGTCTACATTATGAACTGTATTACTTCCGTCATACACCCCATATGGATTGCAACAGGGTATCAGCAGTTAGAAACGGGAAAATGGAATAAGAAATACGATTATTGCCAGATTTGGAATACGAATCATTAAAGTAAACTACACGAATTGATATGATCCATGGCTCAGAAATCAACTTGACCCTCACGTAGACCTTCCTACTGATAACCGGCTTAGAGCTCACCCTAAAAAGCTAAAGCAGATCGACTGGCTTTTATATACCCTGGATGAGAGCAGTGAGAGCAGTGGGCAATTAACTTAAGATTTACATATAATTTTATTTATACATATACACTTATGCCATGTAGAGATCAACTATATTTTTGGGAAAATGTACTCTGGGAACTTAAGGTGTTACTTGATGCCCCGAGGCAAGAGACATAAAACAAAATTTGAACTGAGCTCGCGAATGCCCCTGCTGCACCCTCAACTCCAATTGCTGCGCGCGTTCGCCATTGGTGCAGTCAAAATAAAGCATTTATACATAACTGTAATTGCATACATAGCTTTGTCATGTTCATGCATATGTGTTGGAGCGAGAGAGAGAGAGCGAGACCGAGAGACGAAGGCAGACAATCAGGCTAGTTTGGCTAGGAGTTTGCATTCGGCATTCCCGCATTGCAATCGTGCATAGCACGGCGACGGAGAGAGAGAGAGAGAGTGAGAGCGGCAGACACAGCCGAGGCTTTTGCTCGCGCTGCCTCTCTCGCTCTCCCCAAAGAGATTTGCTCTTCGAATATTGTTGTTCTTTTGCTAGGTGCTTTACTTACCATTTGAAAATTTTGTTTGAGTCAGCAGCTTATTTCACAGAAGCGACGGCGTCGACGTCAACTGCTACGCTGCAGCAGCAGCGAGCGTTTTGTGCTGAGAAAGCGTTACGCGAAGATTCTCGCGCAGTTCTCTATTCTAACTTGGTATCCGTTTTGCAGTCTTCTTCTTCTTCATTGGCAATGTTAGCATTACAAAAACAAAAACAAAAATATGAAAAAGGAACCAAAACAAAAAAAAAAGAAGCAGAAAAACCGTTTAAAAATAACGCACTTCTAAATGGTGTGTACACACTGTAAGTATTGCATATGCTAACGCATACAAATGTAACTGCACACTGCAAACATGCATGTGTGTGTGTGTGTGTGAGCACTTAGCAAAGGCAGCAGAAATACAAAAAAAAAAGTACACTTGAATCGCTTGTACGTTTGGTTTCTTTTCTCCCAATGTTTTTATTTTAAATTTTAAATTTTTGTTGTTGGATGGTCTGTTTTGTTTTTGTTGTTATGGTTTTTTTTCGTCGACGGCGACGACTATTAATATTTAGAAGTTAACCTTTTAGCCCCGCGTTGCGGCTCATCGGCTACAGTTGAAAAAAGCGCGACACAAAAACAAAAATAAAAGTAAAACACAAAATTATACACACATACAGACATATATGTATGTATGTATATACAAACATGCATGKGTGTGTGTATTGATACAATTTGCACATGTGTGTGTGTGTGTGTAGTCAAAGCGAATATAACTAACTGACTGCGGCGCTAGTTGTTTCGTTTTTGTTTTGCATATTTTGTTTTTGTATTTGTTTTTGTTTTCCCGTTGTTTCCTTCGCGCATTATTTTGAGCATGAGCGTGAGCACAAGCACGAGCACGCTCACGCACGCACGCACAGTCACTGGTCAATGGTTAATTCTTGCACTTGCACTTTGTTGCACTTTTTTTTTTCTTCTCAATACATTGTGCGATCCAGAGCTCTCTGTTCGGCACACACTCTCTCTCTCTCTCTCTCTCTCTCTCCCTCTCGCTCACTCTCTCGCCTTCTTGTTTTCTTATTGGCTTGCCGTTTACAGCCACCATACATTATACGTATGCACAATCATACGCGCACTCCCACTCACACACACACACACATACACATGCAAACGCATGCTTATATTTGCGCAACCGTGCCAAATATCCGTTTTAGGGGGCTTTGCAATAGTACTAACCAACATTAAAATAACTAAACGAAACGTTAAGAAAAGCAGCAAACAAACGGACAACGAAAATGAAACTGAACTTTTCGTCGCGATCCCGTTGCCGATACTAACGGCAGTCACAGACACAGACACACATTGTGCCAAGTTCTGCTACGATCGTTAGGCAGACGGACGACGCTCGCGCTCGTCGCTGCTGCTGCTGCTGCTCCTCGGAACTGCGTGCCTCGTTCTGCTTCTTCTTCTTGCTCTTGTTGTTGTCGTTGTTGTTGCCTGTGCTTTAACTTAGTAGATTGCGATGGCAGTGTTGGTAGCGACAGCGCCGCGCTCTCACTTTTTCACATGTGTTCAAATGTCTCAAGTGTGTGTGTAAATATACATAAATACATATGTATGTCTACTTATAGAATCGAACGGTAGAGACAACGCCAGCAGCAACGCAGCAGAGCAACGGGAAGAGCGACAGTTAACTGATGCGCTCGGCCTATGGCGATTGTGATTCTGATTTCGATTTCGAATCCAATAGTCGAGCCAAGGAATAACACACGCATGAAATCAACTGTGCTCAACTGAGTGTGTATGTGTGTGTGTGTGTGTGTTTTACTCTCTGGGGGCATGGTGCATGCTGCTGCAGGCAAAAGGAATCTATGGGCATATTACTGTGCAACAGCAACAGCTACGGCAGCAGCCGCAGCAGCGAGTGGGAAAAATCGTAGACTATAAATAGATACAAGTATGCTCGATATATGTACATACTATATGTTCTATATATACAAGTGTGTGCATGTGTGTGTGTGTGCATATGCACCCCAAAGAAGCTGCGACTCGGTTGATGATCTCTCACTGAACGAAAAAAAAAAAATACAGAAGCTGTTAATGTAATATAAAAAAAACTTTGAAAAAACATGTTTTACTTTTATATTAACTATGTTAAAACTGAACAGAGCTGATAATTAAGGGAATCTTTTAAAGAAAAAGTACTTATATTATAGTAGCTGCCTCTAAAGCTCTAAGTAACTATATGATCAATGGTTTCTATATTAAAAAAACACACATCAAAAATGATGAAAGAGCAAAGTATGTCAAACAGAAATCCATAAAGAATCACCAAAGAGTACTATAAAAAAATTTAACAATGATTTGTTATTTTATTATTATTTTAGAATAGTACTAAGTCATTTTAATTATAGATTTCTATGTAGCATATGCTAGTACATTAATAACGAGATGATACTGGTTAGAGCATAGAAAAGCAAGATGAAAACTATATATTTCTTATAATTTCAGAACTTGGAATGACGAAAAAAAAAAAAAAAAAGTTGTGAGTGAAGAATGAAAGATGTATTAAAAAAAGCTTGATGAATGAGGAAGCAGGCTTCATTCGTCAGCTCTCATCTATCTGAATAATGTATAAAGAATAAACGAAGAATTTTGATAGACGAATGAAGAAGAAAGATGAATGATGAACAAGGAATGAAGTATAATGATTGATATATAGGGGATGACTGAAGAATCGTAAGTGGAGAATCATGAATAAAGCAATATGGATGATGAATGATAAATAAGGAATGAAGAATAGATGTTTGACGAATTATGAATGAAGAATTATGAGTGCAGGGAAGACACTAACGAAGAGCTGTGAATGTAGATTAAATAATTACGCAGGCCAAGTTGATGTTGAATAATGAATAAAAAATCAATCATATATGTAGGAAGAATAACAAATGCGATTGAAGAATCACAAAGCATGAATGAAGAATGCAAAACAAGACTTTTACAATTTGTTATTAGATTCGCTTTGCTGGGGTTTGGTTGTGATTCGTAGCCCCAGTCGGTTAATTCTGGAATTATTTAAGGTACATTCGATTTGGATTTCTATTTCTAACTGTGAATTGAGCCGCTGTTTAAAGGTTCATCTTTAAAATATGCTAAAAATATGCGCACAGTTGTTTTCCGTTTGTTTTTTTTTTTTCTTTTACTTCTTCCATCAAACAGCGCTTGACCTCTGACCCAATGTCCAATCGAAGCTTTTCGATTCAATTTCAATTTTGGATTTGCGCTTATTCCGAATCAAAATCGTGATTTTCATTAGATTTATATACTTCTAATCCAGTATATCTGTATCTGTATCTGTCTCTGTCTCTGTATCTGTATCTGTATCTGTATCTGTATCTGTATCTGTATCTGTATCTGTATCTGTATCTGTATCTGTATCTGTATCTGTATCTGTATCTGTATCTGTATCTGTATCTGTATCTGTATCTGTATCTGTTTGCCTTTGCATTTGTATCTCTAAGTGAATTTGTATCAGTAACTGCAGATGTTCTTGCATCTGTATCATTCACAGTACCCTTAAATGTATCTGTAGCTGTAAATGTATCTGGATTTGTAGCCGAATGTGATTCACTTTACGAGCTGTTGCTCCCGCTCTTTATTTCTTTCTTGATATTTTTGGTACAGCTGCTGGAGCCGCGCTGTAAATGTTTTTCATGCCGTTATTCTTATTCGTGGCGGATGCCTCAAAGCGAACGAAAGAAAACAAGTAACACGAAACTATCGATGGGGAGTGATTGGCTAGCGGGATACTTTGTGCTTCTAGGAAAACTTATATGAAGAGAAGAAAGAGAGAAACCAAATGAGAATGAGAAATGAAAGTGGGTATCTGTGAAGAGTGAGTGGGAGAAAGAGAGAGAGAGAGAGAACGAGAGGGGAGAGAAAGATAGAGGAGAGAGAGAGAATGTAAGAGAATGAATGGGAATGAGAATGAGGCTTAGAGATATAGAAATACAAAAATAAAATACTTTAAAGTAACCTCATATTATTATTAGGAATACTTTCTTATCTGTGAGGGTTACATAAAAACCTGGACGTATGTATACACCCAACTCGTAACTATTTTCACTGAGTGTAGGGTATAAAAATAAACCAAATCGCTTTCAATGCCCCTTCATACACACTCACACTTACACACACACACATATATATACACATATAGACAGACGAAAATAATGCGAGTTGTGAAGAGTACTTCGGATGGTCTCTCGTCTAGTTACGATTGGGTAGCAGCGTTCGGGGTTATCTTTGACTCAATAACGGAAGACAAAATACTAAAAACCAACTACGCCCTCATGCATCGACTAGCATATACAAGTACACAAATATATGAGTAGACAAATATACATACATATATGATGTATATATTATGTAGCATTTCATCCTCTTTTGTAATCGGAAATATTTTATATTCACTTTTAAAGATTAAACTGCTTGTTCGTAGCTCTAAAAGTGTGAGGTCAATGTTTTGAGTAGACGAGTCTTCTTTTGGATATATACCAAACTCAAGAAGATATATTCTATAAAAACTGAAACGTTTTGCGTTTATGCGAAGAAGGACGAATGGACGGAAGAATGAACGATCGGAAAGGCGAACGGACGGACTAATAGATACTACATGGACATGAAAAGACATAGTACTGACAGATGGAAGGACTGACTGATGTGTAGACTGAAGAATAAGTGATCGGGCAAAGGACTAAGAGACGGGGGACGGACAGAATAATTGAACGGATATTACAGAGAACCAATATGCTCGCTTTATACAGAGTGAACGGGAATATGACATCTAAGTTGACATAAATATAAAGATGCGAAAAACATATTTATAACACTAAAAACTCATACTACAACCTGACAATTGAAAATCTACTCAAAGTAATATACAAAATAATTATTCCATTCCCACAAAGCGAAGCAATTTTGCAATTTTTGTTGCGTAGTTAAAAACCAAAAGCAGACAAAGCCAAAAGTAAATGTTTGTACATATCAAAGATATATGCATGCAAATATATATATAGTTTGTACATATACAGACATTTGTAACGATGTATAGAGCTCTCTGTATGCTCTGATCATCGATATCTTTGCATTTTTATAGCTATTGTCTTTGCAGCTGCTTCTGTTTCTTCTCCTACTCTTCATCGACATCATCATCATCATCTACTTGTTCTTCTTCTTATATTTCGCTGTATTTTCTTATATTTTCCCCCAGTTGTTTTTCTTTTTATTTTCAGTTGCTTTTCTTTTATTTCATTTTTTTTTTGTTGTTGCTGTTTTGAAAGAAAATGAGTACAAGAGTTATTTTTAGAATATATTTTCTTTAAGATTTTTACTCGTTAACATTTGCCTTACGCTTCGTATTTCGTAGTAGTTGCTCTTCTTCTTGTTGTTGTTGTCGTTGTTGTCATCATCATCATTATTGTTGTTGTTGTTGTTGTTGTTGTTGCTGTAGCTGGTGACTGTATCTGTGGGGGCCTCTGCTTTGGCTTGTTTGTCTCGTAGTTGGATTTTTAGGATTTGCTTAAGTAACATTAGTTTTCTATATATGCATACATACATACATGCACATACATATTTACATTTGTATATGTGTGTGACGAATTAGAGGAGCCATTTACAGCATGAGAGAGGGGTTGACTTCACAGAGAGAGAGAGAGAGAGAGAGAGAGAGAGAGAAAGAGAGAGAGAGAGAGAGAGTGAGCGTGCGAGCGAGCGAGCGTGAGAGAGAGAGAGAGAAAGAGAGTGAACGAACGTTGGGTCTGGGCAAGCGAGACGCTCAATAAGATTTATAGTTGCTATTTTTAAATACTGGCATATTAACAACCGTAGGGATCGCGCGTACACACACACACACACACACACATAAGTAAAATAGTACACTTGATATATAAGTAGCATACACATGCATACATGCATGCATACATGCATGCATACACATACATATATGTGTAAGCATGTATACAGATGGCTGGCATTTGGTTTGCGCTGAACGCATTGCATTTGTACTACATGCATTCAAAAGCAAGTAAGTGTAAAAGAGATGGGCTATGTGAGACTCACAGTTGACCTATAATAGCAGCGGTTAAGAAAGCTCCTGTGTAATGAAAATATGATAAGAGAGTTTCCTCATTTTCATTTGTTTTTATATTATATTA